AGATTTTTATGTGTGTTGTTTGATAAGGCTGCCTGTGCTATACCTGCGACTGGTTTTGATGGTGAGAACAGGCTGATGTAGACAAACTGGAGTTTGATGTACCAGTATGTGAGAAGCCATTCACAGGAATAGCATGAGGATGAGCTGCTACCGCTGGGAATATTCAGGCAGTCCCCTTTCCTTCCTACATCAGGATTTACTATCTCCACCACTACCAGGTTAGAGACTACACAGGGAGGAAGTTCCCTTGCATATCTTCTTCTGTGGTCACTAAAAAATTCCTGTTTGCTGGGCTGAGGTGGAGAAGCCCAAGGTGCTTTACGTTATTCTGTGTCGACTGCCCTCAGCCGTCACTCAGATGTGAACCATGAAGCACCACAGCAGTGACCGGGAGCTGTGAGCGACTACGGAGCTGCCTCCGTCCCCGTCAGCACCAAACCCCTCTGACACAGGGAGGACGGAGGAATTATTTTCCCCCACCTTTTTGCACTTTTTTTTTGAGGTGGGGGGAGGGGGATGAAAGCAAGGTGCGAACTGAGACCCAAAAGTTTTCATTGGGCTAAACCAGCTGTGTTAAGATGGGTTTGAACAGCAGCAGAAATGGGCGCAGGCTGCCAAGAGCCCTTTGACGCCTGTAACGTGCTGAGGGTGCGCAGGGCACGTGGCGGGGGCACGCAGCAATACTCTTGTGACACGAGCAGTGTCGTCTGCTGCCTGGTCCTGTTGCACTGCTGCGTCGTCTAGGTGTTTCCTGAGGCGGGGAACAGCCCGGATTACCCACTGCTTGTTTGTGAAGGGACAAGTCGGCTAATTAGCTGTATGGGTGGAGTATTGGTTTCAGGCTCATCAGGAGGGCATCCTCATCCTCTCCTTCGTTATACGCATCCAGCTGCCGGATCGGGCGCCGAAGTTTGTTCGTGGGTGCTTCCTCTCTAGAGCTTATGGACAGGAAAGCCAGGATAAACGGGGCACCGAGAGAATCTTTTTTTAGCCCGTCGCCCCGGGACCGTGAATCGCAGCAGCGCAACTGGCACTTTTGCGGGATGTAAGGAACGCGCTTTCTCACCTCACGGGATATGTGACGGGAGTGGGCGTGCAGCGACGATCAAGCCACCGAGTTAAGTAGCAGGCCTGTGGGACTGACTTACAAATACCAGTGTTCTTTATTTACACCGACATGTAAACAACAGAAGGTAAACAACACCACCCAGCTCGGTCTAACAAACAGGCTGCTGCTGTTTCACTTCGGGACCTGAGGTGTTTTAGACATTTCACAGAAACGGTATTGACAGCAAACACAGGAAGGCTACGAGGCTACCTTGACTCTTTCTTTGCACGGGAATCGCATGCACGGTGCGGCAGCATGAGGGAACGGTACCACTGAGGCCACAAAACAAGCGTATGCGAAGAACCCACTAACAGCTTGCCTTAAAGTTGGGTATGGCTGGAGTTAGCAATATCTGTGAGTGGTACCACTGCACCTAGTCTGTGCTCTGACAGTGCTTTCCCTCCAAGGATTGGAAAGCACTTGGCAAACAAATCGAGAATCTTTGTGGCACCCTTTGCAAATTATTCCCAGTGTATATGTGAGGAAGCGGAGGGCTTTCAGAGGGCAACTTTCCCAGAGCTCAGGTTTTACTGGTCTCTTTCCCCAACCTCGAGCCTTAAATACAGCATTTTTCCTTCCCAGAAGTCTATCGCTTCTTGATGTTTCAGGACGCGCTTTCAAATCCAAAGTGATGCTCCAAGCACTGCAGGTGGAAGCGCAGCGGACGGTCCCAGCCGCTGCCAGAAGTTGTTTCACTTCAATGCTGCCGCTGCTGAAAGAGGAGACAGCTGCTCTGCAACACGTTGCACCCATCCCCATGCTTTTCCAAGCTTGTCCAAACCCAGAATTGAGGATAACATTTGCTGCAAAAGAAAAACTATTTGAAAACAATTGTGCTGATCTGCTGTCTTGCAGATCTCACCGCAACAGTAACCCTTACACACGCTGTGTTTTACTTAAATTATTTCAAATGTTACACTAAATTTGTAAGACCCAAAATGACCTAGTGGAGCAAGGAAGAGTTCAGGGGGTGTGCTGTTTTGTGGCAAGGAACAAAATTTCCTTATAGCTTAGCAGCAAAAGCATCAGCTCGGGCTTGAATGGGATTTAATTCTCAGCTGTAAATTCACATTTTGTTTCCACACACACTTCCTGGAAAAAAAAAACCAAACAGGCTGACAGGTGTTGGGTTGGCTTGTTTGGTTTTTCTGCTATTGCAGAGTGATCACCATGGCTTGAACCCAAAACTGGCTTCAGCTTTTCTACTTGTTTTTAACATGAATAGCAAGTTAGACAGGCTCAGCTCATATGCTAGATCAGATTCAAGCATGTAAGAATTGCTGCTAAAAAAACCAGCTGGGAAGGTGGGTTTGAGCACAGTATTTAAATGCTCAGCTCAGCTGCCTTCTCTTGTGCACTTTATGCTTCAAGTAGTTTTACTTCTTCTACCCTCCCAGTAAGGGATACAGTGATGCTCAATCTTCGCTTATCGCCAGAAAGGAGATGAACCACCGCAACCCTAAGATACACCGTTTACAGCTGGCAGTACAACAGCAGGTAAAATAGAGACTGAAAAGAAGGCCTGATTTTCTTAACCAGGCTTCTCTGCAATCCTTTCAATCCTCCAGGTGAAAAGGAAACTTAGAGAATTCTCCTTAAATAAAAGCTATGTACAAATTGCACACATTGCAAACGGAGCACTGAGATCAGTTACAGAAAATAAGATGTACAGTCTTCACTGATAACATCTCTCTTGCTATAAACAGTGATAAACAGCATATGCTTTCTTCAGATGTCAGAACCCAGCAAGACTGCAATATTATGTACACAGGGCTTGTTTGCCTTCTGCCTCCCGCAGCAGAGTCCCTCCCAACTCTGTTTTCGCCTCGGAAAGCTGTGCAGCGACGTTCCCGCGCACCGCACCTCTCCTGCTCGGCACATCACAAGAGAGCTGTCATTGCTGTCTGGCTTATCGGTTTGAGGCAGTCTCTGGGCGTCGAGTAGCCCTCGCTCCCGAGGGCATTGGGCTGAGGTTTCTGGTAGTCTGTGCTGTAGCTCACAGAGGACAGGACACCATTAGCTTTGGGTTTGTCGTAGTTTATGACGCTCTGGGGCGTCTGATAGTCTCCGTTCCTGGTATCAGTCTTACATGAACTGGAGAAGCTGCCGGCAGAAAGGGAGTGTTGCCGAGATGAGACGACAGGTACGTTGTAGCCGTTTTCAGAGGGGAAGTTATTTTCTCTTGCGACGTGCCGCTCTATGATGGGGGTGGCGTATTCGGGCTCTTGGCTGGTCAGGGGCAGAGCGTACTCGTGCCGGTTAGCTCTGTGTGGACAGTGATAGTGGTTTTCGAACTCTGAACTCCCCCTTCTTCCCTCGTCTTTGGTGTCCATGGGTCGAAAAGTAGATCCTTTCCGTGTTACCGTCCCAGTCCCGATCATGAGAGGCTGCTGGTAATCTAAAAGGAAGCAGGAACTGCTCAATAAGGCACAGATTGGTTATTTTATGTATGTAATACTTACGCATAGATAGGTATTTTCTGTTGAAAAACAGGGATGTGAGGGAACCACAGAGATTGCCCAGAGCAGCAGTGGATGCCCCATCCCTGGAAGTGTTCAAGGCCAGGCTGGATGAGGCTTTGAGCAACCTGGTCTAGTGGAAGGTGTCCCTGCCCATGGCAGGGGGGTTGGAACTAGATGGTCTTTAAGGTCCCTTCCAACCCAAACCATTCTGTGATTCTATGAAACCCTTCCCGAGCGCCGCTCCTGTAACCTCCTTCAGCGAGCAAGCGTTGCAGAACATGGCAGAAGCTCTTCCATGCAGGAGCTCCAATCTGCCACTCCTTTCCCTCCTCTCTTCCTCCCCTTCCCCACCTACCCACCCAAATAAATTATCATTTCTGGAATATACTCAAAAGCCCTAAAAAATGAGAGAAGTCAACAAAATAACAGCAACAAACTGGACAAAGGACGTTGCTTGACGATCCACAAACGAGGTGGTCTCCAAAACAAGTGCTCCACTTTTGGAATAATTAAAATGCCTGGGGGATTCTTAACAAGCCCTACCAAGTGCCGGCTTTATTTAAAAGGCATCTCGCAGTAGCTGACTGACAAGAAGGATGAAGTTAGGCGGAACGGCAGCCAAGGGAGTCAAGGGAAGTGTGAAACACGCTAAGCCAGCTCAGAACTGCTGCGGGCGCGCGAGGAGGGAAGAGCCGTGGGAGGAGAAGCGGGACCGGTGCTGCTGGAGGAACCGGGCGGGTTGCCTCAGTCAAGGGGGATGGCAAGGGATAGAGCTGGGGATGGGTAAACGGCCTGAGCAGGAGCCTCAAGAAGGGGGTGTTTGCACCTCCAGTCAGGGAGGTGCCATGTAAGAAGGAGATCGGGACTAAAAGGGTTTTCAAAAAAAAAAAATCCAGTGAAACTATTATGAGAAAATTCAGCGTTGTGACTTTCTCGCTTCGGTGCTGGTGACAGTTTCTTAGGGATACATACGGTGGCCTGAACAGCTCCAGTAAGTGACACTGCTAAAGTATCATGTTTTGACGCAGGCGTGAAGAAGTTAGCTCAGTTTCTGTGCTGGCATCGTGGTTCCTCTGACATGAGTGTCGAATGCAATCCCATATGTCCTGTGAATCTTTTTGGCAGTTCCTGGCTACATCCCAAACTTCAGCATGTAGGGTGAAGGTGTGATGATATTTCAGTAAGTAAGTGGTGCAGCTCTTCCCGGCGTCGCTGCCGCCATCCCCAGCAATCCCCCTCGATCGGGATGAAGCGGCTCGGCTCGCTCCTGGCTGCCTTTGAGAACCGGCAGGCAGCCGGGGATTCGAAGGGGGGGTGTGTGTGTGTGTGTGATTTCATGTAGGACATTAACCTCTAGGCCTGTTGCAATTATATTATTAAATGGCACGTTTCTGGGCTGCGTTCACATTTTTATTTCAAGTTTGGTACTGTTAAAGAGAGTGTAGGTGAAACACTAAGGCTAGGGAGCTGCCTGGCCAGAATTCCCACATGCGGCAGGAGGGGAGGATGGAGAGAGCAGAGGCTCCCCAGACAGGGCCAGGGGAGCCAAGCAACCACAGTGTTTGAGCAGCCTTTATCAAACCCCTTTCTTTCATGAAGTAAAACTGCTTTATAGGTCTCTACATTTTTATACTGAAAGTTTCTGGGAAGGTTTGAGACCGTCTTTGAAAGATATCCAGGGTAGCACCATATGGAATTACAGTAACCATCCATTTGTTTTTTAAATCTATTCCTCTGCCAAACGTATTGGAAAATGCTAAGGAATTTCTAAAAGCTGGAGGCTGGAAAGAGCAAATTAATCTTTCTGGAAGATTGCTAATCACTGATCCCATGAAATGGCCGGTCTCACTGGCCTTTCCAGACAGACTAAACTAGGCAGGGATAAGATCTGCTAAGAGGATGAAATAAAAAAACCCATCCCTTTGGGATGCAAATAGTGTCGATGTGAGGATTTGCTCTATCCAAACAGTGACCTGGAGCCAAGGTAGCACAGGAGAGAAGCACTGTGGTGGTTGTTTTTCCTTCTCTCTCACCTACCTGCTTCCACTTCAGGGGGCCTCATCTCCAAAATGTTTCAGGCCCCAGCAAAGCTGCCACAGGGATCTCAGCACCACTTCCAGCTGGGCATGAAATCCTACCACAAACCAACCAAGTAATTTTTCTATTTGCTCAGCAGCAAGGGGCATTACATCTTGTTCCACTTCCAAAGACATTTGTGTTTAAGTCAAAACACAAAAATTAGCCAGCAAACTATCCTATCCTAGGCACGTGCTTGCACTGCATCCTTGCCTGGCTGCCTTCCATGGTTACTTTCAGCTGTGACTATTGCAGAGTTGGGAAGTCTTTCCCAACAGTTCCATGAACAAATTTCCAAAACAGTGGTCATTTTCCCCCCAGTATATTTAGCTGCCTCACTCTACGTCTGGGATGAAGACAGATAAATACGTTCCTGGGCCTCAGCTTGCATGAGAGCTGGAGCTTGTGATGCTGCTGACCTGTCCCTCTCCCCGTCACCTGCTCTGCATGCGGAGCAACAGTAAGGTATTGTGGTGGGAGAAACTGTTACCTGCCATGTCGCTGGTGACCAGATCTAGTTTTTGTGGTGTCTCCTTATCGTTATTATAGCTGATGGTAAATTCAGTTGACTGATGTCTGGTGAAGGGCTGCTTGATTTGTTTCCAACAACCTATGATAAAGAAATAAAAATAGAAGGCTTATCAGCAAGTTAAATGCTTACAGTCAGAAGACTTACCAGAAAGTTTAATTTTTGGTGTACTCGTTGCTGTCAATATATTGAAGTAGTTAAAAAGCAAGACTGATCAGGCCATGTGTAAAAAAAGCCCCCTAAATTTGGAGGATGAAAGGATAGCAAGTGAATCATCAGCTGGGATTTCCAAGCGGAAGTGTAACTTTTATAGAGGATTTTCTTGGCAAGAAGGGCTTAAACTTTGTGGGTGCCTGCACTGATGCCTTAACAAAGCCTATTGGTAAAATACCAGATTTGGATTAGTTACATGTTTTGCCGTGGCAAAAATAAAGCTTAAAGATTTAGTTTTTTCAGTAGACTGGCATGGCTTCCATTTCCTTCAGATCTGAGCACCGGCACTTATCTGTGTCTTATGTGTTCTAACAACATCCTTGCGAGACAAAAAAGAGAAAATCCACCGTGTCAGGCACTTGCCCAGAGCCTGTGACAGGAGGTCTGCAGAGAGGTGGGTTTGGCTCCCAGCTTTCTGAGTCCCAAGCCTGGTTCACCAGGGCTTAGGAACTTGCTTCATGAAGCACACACGCTGCAAATGAACTGACTGGGTAAGAGGCGATCTCAGATTTCTTGGGATTTGTCCTCATTAGCAAATGAGAAAGGATTATGATGTGACCTTGAAAAATCATATTAGCAAATATGATGTTAAGCACAAATTAATTTTGTAATGAGGGCGAGCTGCAGTGGGTAACAGCGTTCTCTTCACTGACGTCAGCACCTGCTGAGGGATGAAATTTCGGAGCTGAGCTATTGCAGGCACTTGTCAAGAGACAGGTGCATTGCTTAGTGGTTTCTTTTTTTATGGAAAACTCAGATTCCAAAGCATATTATTCTACATAGGTGGCAGGCCAGGAAAAACAACTAAACCCCAATGGGAGACCCCACTCTAGAAAGCATTACTGATCAAGACAGAGGTGGTCACTTCACTGAGGTTTTGCAGGCAGAGTAGGAATCCTAAAGCAGAGTCCCCAAGCCGATCCCCTACTCAGATTTTACACGTGAAATACAATTCGGATTGTTAGGCTTTATAAATACAGTCCCAACCAGGGAGGGCAGCAAGATGGAAATATTAAAGCCATAAAAAATTATTAGCCCTTGCTCTCTTGGAGAAAGGCAATCTCCTCTGCTGGTTGGGGCGGGGGGGAAGGAAAGCAGCAATTTTCTGCAAGATAGGGAAGGAGGAGGGAAGGAAAGTGAGGGCACCTGGGAGCACTCTTACATGCTAATTTATGCACTCTGTATAATAGATCTTTTGCTAATTGCCTTTCTGTCATAGAAACCAAATTGTATTGTTTCTTAGGGCACTGTGCTAGGATGACACAAATGGGACTCACGTTTGCTGTTTCCCTTGTATGAAGTCAAGAATTTGAACGAGGAACCGTGGATGCTATACCGCAAGTACTGTATGCTTAGTTGCATAAACCCTTTTCCCTTAGCCCAATGGACAGGACAGGACAAAGCGCACACTAACCTGATTTTTGAGCACTGGCTAATCCGTAAGAAAGTCCTTTGGCTTCTCGCCTGCAAGGAGAGGAAAGCATTTATAAACATCTGCACTTACAGCATTGCAGCTTCATGCCTTCACTCCAGCAGACTAGCCTTTGTGTTTAGCAGCTGAGGACAGCTTCACTTGGGGTGTTTACTAGGATGTAAGGCACGCAAACCAGGGTTTCCCCATCTGTATGCGAGCTGTGAGTGACGGTGTTCAAACCTCTTGTGCCTGGCACTCAGCGATTTGATGTGCCTGCGTCTGTACCTGTCAC